CATAGTGCAATGGTTAGTTGTGTATGTTGGGAGTTAGAGCTCATATGACTGACTGAGGTTCAAGTCCCAACACCAAATGCTAGAAAAATATACTGGGAATGCATGTGTGCATGCCCCAGATCCTGAAGGGATGGAAAAATGGAGGAAAAAGGATTGTGGCATGACCATGCCCCATTGGGGTATTCTCTCTCTGTTCTCTCTGGTAGGCACACATGCCTGCTGGCAATTAAAATGATTATATATATGTATATGTATATATATATATATATATTTTTTAATAATGAAGGGGTAACCACAGTGCAACTGTTAAGAACTGTGCATAGACAGACATGCCACATAGTCAACCGTGGCTTGAATTCCACCGCAGCAGCTTGAAAAACATACCAAGCACATGTGTGTGCATGCCTCGAATCCTGACAAGATGGCAAATGGAGTAAAAAGGATCGCGGTGTGACCCTATCACGTGAGGAGGTGCTTCCTCTCTCTCTCTCTCTTTCTCTCTCTCTTTGATGAGTGCACATAACCTCTGGCAATAAAACATGATAAGTAAGTAAAAATAAACAAGAAGAAAAGAAACAAAAATAAAATCTTGCTTTGAGCGAATATTTTTAGATATAAGAGAAGGTATTTCCATTCAAAAAACAAGACTAAGGTGTTCTAAAGCATTTGGAAAACAACAAAAGTTTCTTAAAAATTAAAAATAGGATATGAGAAATTTGAAAGACAGTAATAAGAATCAGAAGATGGAAGTTAGGAACTCTATAAAATAATAATAAAATCCAGGACCAGCCAATGGTGTAATGGTTATGTCACTGGACTCCCATATGGCCAACCAAAGTTTGAATCCTGGACATGGTGTCTAAAAACTCATGCTGGGGACCAGCAGGTGGCATGGTAGTTAAAGCACTGGACACTCCCACATGGCTGACCATGGTTCAAGTCCTGGACCTGGTGGCTTGCTAACTCAATTTCTCTCTCTGTCTCTCTCTAGACAAATTAAATGAATGAATAAATAAAATTAAAATTAAATAATTAAAGAAAAAAAACCCTCATGCTGGGCACGTGGGAGTGCATGCCCTAACCTGAGAGGAGAATGAAGGGATTGCGGCATGGCCATCCAGCCTAGGGGTGATTTCTCGCTTTCGGTCTCTCTGTCTCTCGGGAAAGTGCATGTGCAAAAATCTCTCTCTAAAATAATAATAAAAATAAAAAGGCTTAAAGAAATAAAATGAGATAATCAACCTAGGTTGACTTCTAGGTTGATTAACCTAGTTAATTACCCACCACATAATTAAAAAGAGTTGAGGATAAAAGGAATGAATAAAAACGAGACTAACTTTCTAAGGATAAGGGGCAGAGTCTCTAGACTGACCGGTCTTATGGAATGACCCAGATAAGAAATGAGAAAAGGCTTAAGACCTAGCCATGGCAGCCTGGTTGGTGTGTACTGCTCTGTAGTGCCGGAAGTCAAACGGCCAAGGGCGGATTCGGATCCCAAGTCGATCTGAAGCACGCCTGTGCAGGCATGCTCAAGACCCTGCTTATCTGGAAGGGAGAAAGGGAGCTGTCAAGGGTGCCTGTCCCTCTCTCTGTTTCTCAACAGAATAAACAGGGCCAGCTGGTTGTGTCGCAGTAATCCAACTAGGACCGTCTGGGAAAGATCCGGGGTTCACATCCTGAGACCTCTGAGTTCTCTGGGTATATACGCGCATGCCCATGATCCAGCCTGGCTGAAACTGGTAGTGGATTGCAGCATGAAGACCCTGTTGGGTGAGGGGTACCTATCTCTCCCTCTGTTCCTCCCCTGTATCTCTCTCATGGGAGAAATAAATGACTACATTTCTTTTCATTTAAAAAGTTTTTTATCTAAATTTATTTATTTATTTATTTTAATTCGACCAGAGAAGGAGAGAGAGAGAGAAAGAAGGTGAGAAAGCGAGCCTCAAGGTCTGGGACTAGAACCATGGTTGGCCATGTGAGAGTTCAGCACTCTTAACCACCACACCATCTGCCGGCTCCCAGAGGGTGCCTCACTCTTGCTGTCTCCCTCTCCCACAGAAGAAAGAAAGAAAGAAACTTTTTTTTTGGGGGGGGAGAGATTTTTCGCTATAGGGCGCGTGCGCTCGCCAGACAGACAGAGAAAGACATAGAGACAGAAAGCGAGAAATCACCTCCCAGAGGGGATGGTCACGCCGCAATCCCTTCTCCTCCATTCTCCTCTCGGGATCTTGGGCATGCACGCACACGCGCCCTGCGTGAGTTTTAAGCCACCGGGTCCGGGATGCGAACCACAGTCAACTACGTGGGAGTCCAGCGACATAGCCATTATGCTAACTGCTGGTTCCTAAAGAAAGAAACTTTTTTAGAAACAGTTTTCAATGTGATTCCAGTTTTAGAAAAGTATTTCTATCTAATCCATCTAATGTTCATAATAATTCTTGATGGATGGTGAGATTTGGGATAATATATTGCTATCTTTATACTTTTCTTCATTGTTTATTTATTTATTTATTTTTTGAGAAGTTTTTGCTAGGGTGTGTATGCTCTCACCCAAAAGACAGAGATAGAAGGCAAGAAATCACCCCCCTGGGGGATGGCCACACCGCAATCCATTCTCCTCCACTCTTCTCTTGGGATCTTGGGCACGCACACACATGTGTCCGGTGTGAGTTTAAGCCACTGGGTCCAGGACTCGAAAACCACGGTTGACTACGTGGGAGTCCAGCAATGTAGCCATTACACCAACTGCTGGTCTCCATTGTTTAAATTCTTTTCTTTTTTTTTTTTAATGCTTGCCATCTGTTTGTTTTAATAATTATTTTATTTAACTTTATTTATTTATTTACTTATTCAAATTTGACCAGAGAGGAACAGAGTGAGCAAGAGAGAGAGAGACAAAGTGAGAAAGAAAGCCGCCAGGTCTGGGACTTGAACCATGGTCGGCCACATGGGAGTCCAGCGCTCTCAATCGCCATGCCACCTGCCAGCCCCCATTGTTTGAATTCTTTAAAAGAAGCATGTATCATTTACAAACACGATTCAGTGAGACAGAGAGATAGAAACAGAGCAAGAGAGTGTTAATAACAAAACGATGGCTTACACACTGTTTCCTGGTTGTCAAATATGATTCTTTGTTCTTTTTAAATTTGCCCGAGGGTACTTGTACTTGCCAGAGACAGAGAAGAAAAGTGAGAAACACTCCCCCATGGGAAGTATAGGGTACGGTCACACCACAGTCCTTTCTTCTTTTCTCTCCCCTCTGTTCAGGATTTTCGGCATGCACACCTAAGTGTTTGGCACATTTTCAAGCCACAGGATCTGGGACTCGAACTGCAAAGCAGCCATGTAGGACCCTGCTGTTTTAACCACCAGGCTACAGGCTGGTCCCCAGGCACAGTTCTTACACCCTTTCTATGTACTAGGTTGAATCATGACGTTGCTAGTATTTGACTTTCTTAACCTACAAAAATGGCAACAGTTCAGTTTATAGTTACTCTTTCCAGCCTTGAACGACCCTGAAGATGAAGATGGAGAGCTTCTAGAAACGCAGAGAGAAACCAAGTGCCTCCGATTCCCTCCCCTTGGAGACCCCCAGCTCCTCCCAGCTCATTCTTCTGGTCTTTCCCTTACATTCCTGCATGTGATCACTGTATTATGGTTATCCTGCTCCCCAGATTGGAGTGCAATGCAGGCAAAGAGATGCTCTTCTGTCCCAAGACGTCCTAGGAGGTGGCATTGACCATCAAGTCGAGGGCCGAAGGTAGAACATGCAGCCTCGCTCCAACGCAGTTACTCCCCTGAACGAAGCCACTACAGGGTTCTAGAGGGTACCCCAGAAACACAGCGTGGCCCACCAGCAATCCCCAGTGAGGTCCCCCGTCATGCCCCCACACTGGCATTGAAACAGGACACAGTCAACGGTCTCAGGTTTATTTTCAGAAAGTGATGAAGACAAAAGAAATACATCAGACACCACTCCCTATACAATAAATAGCCACCCCCGTTCAAAAATAATAATAATAAAAAAGAAAAACAAAAAAGCGCGCACACACAACCACCACAAACGAGACCTCGCTTTTTGAGACCCGCCTCAACCCTCTTCCCAGCCCTTCCTCTGAGCCCCACTCACTGTCTCTGAGCAGGTGGCACTCAGGCCAGCTGCCCAAAGTCACCCGGGGCCTCTCCCTGGTCCTGGTCGGCTGACTGTGATGAAATCCATGTGTGTTTCTTTTCAGATGACGGATGAACACACATGCACGCCGAAACGCTGACAGTTACTCTGCAAAAGCAGAGCTGAGGCTCCAGTCCCCAGCCTTCCCCGCCTGACCCCACCCACCCCCGGGGCAGCCAAG